GGCTCCGTGGGCGGGGCGTCCTGGGCGGAAGAGGCGGTGGCTGGGGGCGGGGCGGGCGGATCCGTCGGCGGCCGAGGGCCGCCCCCTGGACTTTGGTCCCTCGCGGTTGTTGGGGCTGACGGCCGGCGAGCGTGGCGGTTGTCAGAAGCGCTCGGATTTCCGAGCGGGCCGGTCCCAGCCGTCCTCGTCGCCCGCCGCGCGCACCGAGCGCCATGGCCCAGCCGCCGCCCGACGTCAGCGAGGACGAGTGTCTCCCTGAGTACCGCCATCGCTTCTGCCCCGACCTGCTCCGGTGAGGGCGGGGGTGGGGGTCCCGGGGTGGGGGCCGGTGAGGCCTCTGCGGAGGTGGCGCGGGCGCCGCGGGGCGTGGGGACGCAGGTGCTCTGCGCCGCTTCGCTCTGTCGGCCGCGTCCGTGTCTGGGGTCGGGGGCTCCGGGCGGCGGTCCTGGGCGGGGGGCTCAGGGGCCGTGGCGGGGCGCTCGTCTGTCTTCGGAGCCGCGCTCTGCGGAGGAATTGATGACGCGTTCCGGGCAGGCTCCGTACCCCGCGCGGGCTTTGAACTCGGGACCGGGACGCAGTCTCGGCTCCGCCGGGAGCCCTCAGGCGCCCGGTAGCTCGGAACTCTGAGCGGAGCTGCTCGCGATGAGACCGTTTTCCACGGAGACCCAGAAGCTGGGGGATGCGGGCTTGAGGAAGGAGCGTCGAGCCACCTTACAGCCTCACCGTGTTCCTGGCCAGCAGCTCCGCCGGTGGGAGTGCGCAGTGGACGGTCAAGAGCTTCCTCCCGCTCCGGGTCTGCAGGGATCGCTCGCGCTCTCTCTCTTTTAATTTCGCGATTTTTATTCTGACTTTTTATTTTCTTAAATTTTAAATTTTAAATTTTTTAAAATTTCGAGTAATTTTTCTCTTTAAATTTAAGTTCAGTTAGTGAACACAGTGTATTATTGGTTTCAGAGGTAGGGATCAGCGCTCAGTCTCCTAAAACTCCAAGTGCTCACCGAATCATCTGCCTTCTCTGTCCATCGTCCGGATGCCCCCCTCCGCCCACCACCCTCCCCTCCAGCAGCCCTCAGTTTCTTTACTATAGTTAAGAGGCTCTCAGGGGTTGTCTCTCTCTCTGATTTTCTCTTGTTCTATTTTTCCTTCTCTTCCCCATGATCCTGTTTTGTTTCTTAAATTCTACCTGTTAGTGAGATCATATGGTCATTATCTTTGATGGACTTACTTCACTTACCGTAATACTGTCTACTTCCATCCACCTTGTTGCAAATAGCAAGTTTCTTTTTCTTTTTTTAAAGATTTTATTTATTTATTTGACAGAAAGAGATCACAAATAGGCAGAGAGCCAGGCTGAGAGAGAGGAGAGGAAGGATTCTTCCTGCTGAGCAGAGCCCAATGTGGGGCTAGATCCCAGGACCGTGAGATCATGACCTGAGCCAAAGGCAGAGGCTTAACCCTCTGAGCCACCCAGGTGCCCCAAGATTTAAGTTTTTTATTATTAAATATACACATGTATTTTAAAGATTGATTTATTTTAGAGAGTGTGCACACTCGCTTGTGTGTGCATACGTGAACAGGGGTGGGGCAGGCAGAAGGAAAAGGAGAGAATCTCGTGCAGACTCCCCACACACAACCCTGAGATCATGACCTGAGCCAAAATCAAGAGTCAGAAGCTTAACAGACTGAGCCACCCAGGCGCCCCATGTATTTCAAACCAGCATGGAAGTCTTTGTTTTTTTATTTTTATTTTTTAGATTATTTATTTATTTACTTGATGCAGCACACAAGGAAGGGGAGCAGCTGGCAGAGGGAGAGGGAGAAGCAGGCTTCCCAAGGAGCAGGGAGTCTAACTCAGGCCTTGATCCCAGGACCCCAGGATCATGACCTGAGCTGAAGGCAGTTGCTTAACCAACTGAGCCACCCAGGTGCCCCGGAAGTCTTTTTTTTTTTTTAAAGTTTTTTTTTTTTTGACAGGGCGAGGAGTTTCCAAGTAGGCATGGAGGCAGGCAGAGAGAGGGGAAGGGAAGCAGGCTCCCTGCTGAGCAGAGAGCCTGATGCGGGGCTTGATCCCAGGACCCTGAGATCATGACCTGAGCCGAAGGCAGAGGCTTTAACCCACTGAGCCACCCAGGCGCCCCCCTTTTTTTTTTTTCTGGAAGTCTTTTTTTTTTTTTAGTGGAATATTATGTTACTTATATTTATGGTAATTAATGACATAGGGATTTAATTTTTTGATGGCTGTGTAATATTCCATTGTGTGTATGTGGATATCTGGGCTCTTTCCATACTTTGGTTATTATGGACATTGCTGCTATAAACACTGGGGAGGAGGTGCCCCTTCAGATCACTACATTTGTATTTTTGGGGTAAATATCCAGGAGTGCAATTGCTGGGTCGTAGGATAGCTCTGTTTTTTCACCTTTTGAGGAAGCTGCATGCTGTTTTCCAGAGTGGCTGCACCAGCCTGCGTTCCCACCAACAGTGTAGGAGGGTTCCCCTTTCTCTGCATCCTCTCCAGCATATGTCATTTCTTGATTTGCTAATTTTAGCCATTCTGACTGGTGTGAGGTATCATTTCGTGGTGGTTTTGGTTTGTATTTCTCTGATGGCGAGTGATGTGGAGCATTTTTTCATGTCTGTTAAGCATTTGTATGTCTTCTGTAGAGAAATGTCTGTTCGTGTTTTCTGCCTATTTCTTGGTTGGATTATTTGTTCTTAGAGTTAGTTTCTTTCTTTCTTTTTTTTTAAATTGTTGGAGAGAGAGTGCAAGTGCACGAGCAGGGTGAGTGGCCAGCAGAGGGAGAAGCAGACTCTCTGCTGAGCAAGGAGCGTGATGCCTGCCAGGCTCAGTCCCAGGACTCTGGGATCATTACCTGAGCAAAGGCAGATGCTTAACCAATGGAAGTACCTCGGCATCTGCGATAAGTTCTTTATAGATTCTGGATACTAACCCTTTATCTGATAAGACGATTGCAAATATTGGGGTTCCTGGGTGGCTCAGTGGGATAAGCCTCTGCCTTCGGCTCAGGTCATGATCTTAGGGTCCTGGGATTGAGCCCTACATCGGGCTCTCTACTCAGCAGGGAGCTTGCCTCTCTGCCTACTTGTGATCTCGCTGTCAAATAAATAAATAAAATTAAAAAAAAAAGACATTTGCAAATATCTTCTCCCGTTTTGTCGGTTGTCTTTGGTTTTTTTTTTTGACTGTTTTCTTTGGTGTCTAAAAGCTTTTGATCTTGAAGAAGTCCCAGTAGTTCATTTTTGCCCTTGCTTCCCTTGCCTTTGGCGATGTTTCTGGGAAGAAGTTGCTGCGGCTGGGGTGGAAGAGGTTGCTGCCTGTGTTCTCCTCAAGGATTTTGGTGCGTTCCTGTCTCACACTGAGGTCTTTCATCCATTTTGAGTCTATTTTTGTGTGTGGTGTAAGGAAATGGTCCAGTTTCATTCTTCTGCATGTGGCTGTCCAATTTTCCCAGCACCATTTGTTGAAGAGACTGTCTTTTTTCCATTGGACATTCTTCCCTGCTTTGTTAAAGATTAGTTGACCACAGAGTTCAGTGACCACTGAAGATTAGTTGACCACAGAGCCCACTTCTGGGCTCTCTATTCTGTTCCATTGATTGTGTGTCTGTTTTTGTGCCAGTACCATGCTGTCTTGATGATGACAGCTTTGTAATAGAGCTTGAAGTCTGGAAGTGTGATGCCACCAACTTTGGTTTTCTTTGTCAACATTCCTCTGATTATTTGAGGTCTTTTCTGGTTCCATATAAATTTTAGGGTTATTTGTTCCATTTCTTTGAAAAAAATGGATGGGATTTTGATAGGGATTGCATTAAATGTGTAGATTGGTTTAGGTAGCATCAACATTTTCACAATATTTGTTCTTCCAGTTCATGAGCGTGGAATGTTTTTCCATTTCTTGGTGTCTTCCTCAATTTGTTTGAGAGTACCTTATAGTTTTCTCAGTACAGACTCTTTGCCTCTTTGGTAAGATTTATTCCTAGGTATCTTATGGTTTTTGGGTGCAATTGTAAATGGGATTGACTCCTTGATTTCTTTTTCTCTGTTGCATTGTTGCTGTAGACAAATGCAACTGATTTCTGTGCATTGATTTTATATCCTGACACTTTACTGAATTCCTGTACAAGTTCTAGCAGATTTGGAGTGGAGTCTTTTGGGTTTTCCACATAGAGTATCATATCATCTGCGAAGAGTGAGAGTTTGACTTCTTCTTTGCCGATTTGGATGCCTTTCATTTCTTTTTGTTGTCTGATTGCTGAGGCTGGGACTTCTAGTACTATGTTGAACAGCAGGGGTGATAGTGGACATCCCTGCCGTGTTCCTGACCTTAGAGGAAAAAGCTCTCAGTTTTTCCCCATTGAGAATGATATTTGCTGTGGGTTTTTCATAGATGGTTTGATGATATTGAGGTATGTGCCCTCGATCCCTACACTGTGAAGAGATTTGATCAGGAAGGGATGCTGGACTTTGTCACATGCTTTTTTTAGCATCCATGGAGAGTATCATATGGTTCTTGTTCTTTCTTTTATTAATGTGTTGTATCACTTGATTGATTTGCGGATGTTGAACCACTCTTGCAGCCCTGGAATAAATCCCACTTGGTCGTGGTGAATTATCCTTTTATTTATTTTTTTATAAAGATTATTTATTTATTTATTTGACAGAGAGAGAGAGGGGGAAGCAGTCTCCCCGCCGAGCAGAGAACCTGATGCGGGGTTCGATCCCAGGACCCTGAGATCATGACTTCAGCTGAAGGCAGAGGCTTAACCCACTGAGCCAGCCAGGCGCCCCTCCTGGGGGGTTTTTGATGACTGCTTCAATTTCCCTGCTGACTGTGGGCTTCTTCAGGTTTCCTTTTCTTCCCGGTTCAGTTTTGGTTGTTTCTGTTTCTGGGAATGCATCCATCTCTTCCACATTGACGAATATGTTGGCGTATAGTTGCTCATAATATGTTCTTATAATTGTTTGTATTTCTTCGGTGCTGGGTGTGATCTCTCCTCTTTCATTCATGATTTCATTTATTTGGGTCCTTTCTCTTTTCTTGTTGACAAGTCTGGCCAGGGGCTCTTCAGTCTTTTAATTCTTTCAAAGAACTGGTTCTTTGGTTTCCCAAAGAACTGGTTTCGTTGATTTGTTCTACTGTTCTTTTGGTTTCTATTTCATTGATTTCAGTTCTGATCTTTATTATTACTCTTCTCTTGCTGGCTTTAGGCTTTATTTGCTGTTCTTTTCTCCAGCTCCTTTAAGTGTAGGGTTAGGTAGTGTATTTGAGATCTTTCTTGTTTCTTGAGAAAGGCTTATATCACCAAATATTTTCTTCTTGGGACTGCCTTTGCTGTATCGCAAAGGTTTTGAACAGTTGTGTTTTTTTTTTTTTTAAAGATTTTATTTATTTATTTGACTGACAGAGATTACAAGCAGGCAGAGAAACAGTCAGAGAGAGGAGGAAGCAGGCTCCCTGCTGAGCAGAGAGCCCGATGTGGGGCTCGATCCCAGGACCCTGGGATCATGACCTGAGCCGAAAGCAGAGACTTTAACCCACTGAGCCACCCAGGCGCCACTGAACAGTTGTGTTTTCATTTTCATTTGTTTCCATGAATTTTTCAGTTTTTCTTTAATTTCCTGGTTGACCCATTCATTCTTCAGTAGGATGTGCTTTAGCCTCCATGGATTTGAGTTCTTTCCAAATTTCCTCTTGTGATTGAGTTCCAGCTTCAGAGCATTGCAGTCTGAAAATATGCAGGGAATGATCCCAGTCTTTTGGTACCAGTTGAGACCTGATTTATGACCCAGGACATGATCTATTCTGGAGAATGTTCCATGTGCACTAGAGAAGAATGTGTATTCTGCTGTTTGGGACGGAATGCTCTGAATGTATCTGTGATGTCCATCTGGGCCAAATGTGTGATTTAAAGCCCTTGTTTCCTGGTTGATCTTCTGATTAGATGATCTGTTCATTACAGTGAGGGGTGTTAAAGTCTCCTACTGTTATTGTATTGCTATCAATATGTTTCTTTAATTTTGTTATTAATTGGTTTATATCATTAGCTGCTCCCATGTTAGGGGCATAAATATTTACAATTGTTAGATCTTCTTGTTGAACAGACCCTTTAAGCATGATACAGTGTCCTTCCTCATCTATCATTATAGTTTTTGGCTTAAAATCTAATTTATCTGATAGAAAGATTGGTACCCCAGCTTTCTTTTGAGGTCCATTAGCATGGTAAATTGTTTCCCGCCCCCTCACTTTCAATCTGGCGGTGTCTTTGGGTCTAAAATGAGTGCCCTATAGACAGCATATGGACGGGTCTTGCGGGTTTTTCTTTTTTTTTCTTTATTCAGTCTGATATCCCCTTTTGATTGGAGAATTTAGTCCATTTACATTCGGAGTGATTATTGAAAGATACGACTTCAGTGCCATTGTATTACTTGTACAGTTGCTGTTCCTGTATTTGCCTCTGTTCCTTTCTGGTCTTTGTTACTTTTGAGCTCTCCCTTTGCTCAAAGGATACTCTTTAATATTTCTTGTAGTGCTGGTTTGGTGATTATAAATTCTTTTAGTTTCTGTTTGTCCAGGAAGGTTTTGATCACAACTTCTATTCTGAATGACAGCCTAGCTGGATAAAGTATTCTTGGCTGCGTATTTTTCTCATTTAGCCCTGAATAGGTCATGCCAGTCCTTTCTGGCCTTCCAGGTCTCTGTGGACAGATCTGCCGCCAATCTAATGTTTCTACCCTTGTAGGTTTCTCTCTCTTGTCCTGAGCTGCTTTCCGCAGATGTTGACTTCCTTTTATTGATTTTGGGGGGGGGGGCTTCCTGGCCTCCTGGACTTGAATGTAGGTTTCCTTTGCAAGATTGGGACATTGGGAGCTATAATTTGCTCTGATATACCTTCTATACCTCTCTCTTTCTTTCTTCTTCATCTGGGATCCCAATTATTCCAATATTGTTTTGCTTTATGGTATCACTTACCTCTCAGATTCTCCTTTTGTGGTCCAGTAGCTGTTTATCTCTTTTTCTCAGTTCCTGTGTTCGCCATCATTTTGTCTTCTGCATCCTTGATTCTCTCCTCTGCCTCATTTATCCTAGCAGTTAGAGCTTCCATTTTTGGTTGCATCTCATTAATAGCCTTTTTGATTTTGACTTGTTTAGATTTTAGGTCTTTCATTTCTCCAGAAAGGGATTCTGTAGTATCTTCACTTGTTTCAAGCCCACCTAGTATCTTTACAATTGCTCTTCTGAATGCTCATTCTGGTGTCTTACTGATGCCCACGCTGATTAGGTCCTGCCAGTCAGCACTGCCTCTCGTTCTCTTTTTTGAGGTGAGTTTTTCTGTCTTGTTTTTCTGTCCAGAGAAGAATAGATGAAGGAGAAAATAAAATGCTAAAATGCTAAGAATGATCTCAGAGAAATATACATTAAATAAATCAAGAGACCCAAAATCAAAAAAAGAGGGAGAAAGAGAGAGAATATAATCAGACAGGTGTAGAGAGCCGAGCAATACACTGGAACCTGTGTGTATTTTGGTCCATTTATTAGAAAAGTAGGGATCTATCTCTTTATTTTTTTATTTTTAATTTTTTAAAAGATTTTATTTATTTATTTGACAGAGATCACAAGCAGGCAGAGAGAGAGAGGAGGAAGCAGGCTCCCCGCTGAGCAGAGAGCCCGATGTGGGGCTCGATCCCAGGACCCTGAGATCATGACCTGAGCCGAAGGCAGAGGCTCAACCCACTGAGCCACCCAAGCCCCCTGGGATCTATCTCTTTAAAGTGTCTCCTGTTTTCTTAGGGACAAAGTGGCCTTCATCACAGGTGGTGGCTCTGGGATCGGGTTCCGGATTGCTGAGATTTTTATGCGGTGAGCTCTCCTCTGTGTCCTCTGTGTTCTCCTACCCCCTGAAACTCACTCCGCCTTACATGGGCTCTGCTGGACCCTGGGCAAGATGCTCCTGGGTGGCAGGAGCTGCTCCAAGCAACAGGCTATCAGAGAGTATCTGAATGGGGTCACATGCTTTCCCGGAGGAGGCAGGACTCTGTGCTCTCCTCCTAGAGATTAGTTGAGACTATGGCTCTGGCCTCAGCACCCCCACTTGTACAAAGAGGAAGGGTTCAACAGGTTGAGGTAACTCTACTGCCAGGCTCCCTGGGGTTTTGCCAAGCTGGGGTTGGGGTGAGCCAAGTTGACCCCAGCAGTGTGCAGAGCACAGTGTCTCTTGAGACATGAGATTTGTGAGCTTATGTCCATGTCATCCATTTGTGACCCCCACCCAGGAAAGGGCCAGAGTTAGATTGGGTTGGGGGAAAGAGAAAGCCTGTTGATATCCTAGGGATCCCTTCCCAGTTTTCTCCAGGGCCCCACTTTTCATACCAGAGGGGTAGGTCTCACTAGATGAGATGTGGGGATTCATCCGTCGCAGGTGAATTCATTTTCCAAGCTGGTGGCTTTGTGCATGTTGCTTCTCTGAGTAGAGTGTAGCCAGCTGTGCTGAGGGTCATTTCTTGGGTTAGGTGGGATCTGCTTAGCAGGTGGTAGCTACTGGCCTTCCTGTGAGACTGACTTTGTCAGGAGATGAGGCAGGGAGGGTACTCTGGCCTCAGAATGGGCTCTCCCTGTCCTTCACTCCAACCTCAGTGAGAGGCCAGGGGAACCCAGCAGGCCCCATGCAGACGCCTGGGCTGTGCATCTGAGGCTCCCAGCTGCTGCAGCGCTGCACAGGTGCTGCTGGGGGCAGGGCCCACAGCTCTCCGGGGCTGGGCTACCCCATGCCAGAGAGACCCAGACAGCAGACCCCAGGGTGGGCACCACTCAGCTTTGCTCAAGCCCCTGTGCTCTCTGCAGGCTGTGCTTTGGCCCTAGGCTGGTGCTTCAGCCTGAGATCCCTGGGGGAAAGGAGCTCCGCCTAGAGCAGTGGGTGCGAGGTCACCTGGGTGTGTCCCTGGCACCTTGGTGCCCTCACGCCTGCCCTCTGGCTTTGCAGGCATGGTTGCCACACAGTCATCGCCAGCAGAAGCCTTCCAAGAGTGTCAAAGGTGAGGGGTCTCTCCTGTGTCCACCCCATCCATGGGTGGCTCTGGGAGGTCCTGAGGCCCAGAAGATGGTGACACCAAAACCTGCTCCCTCAGCAAACAGGCAGCTTCGGTGCAAGTGCCTCCCAAGGATACCCCAGATTCTTAACGTCTCCTTGTTGGGAGGAGGCTCTGTGGTTGGGTGGGTAGTTCTGTGGCTCCGAGAGGGCTCTCAGCCCATAAAGGTTTTGAGGGTGGTTTGCCTGTCACATGCACCTGGGAGGAGACTCTCGCCGCTGCCACAGCTGGTCTCTGGGCAGGGTCCAGATGTCACCTGGAGCTGCCGTTGACCCATGACCAGGACCAGTGGCCTGGAGGGTAATAGGGAAGGAGAATCCCACGGACAGGGGAAGAGAGTGGCCCCTAGGGGCTGTGGCCCCACAGAGTGGCCACTTGCCAGCTATGCCTTCCCAAAGTGGGGTCCAGCAGCAAACCCTGGCTTTCCAGCATCATCTGGCCACATCACCCTCATCAGGTTCAGAAGCCACTGGGCTGCTGCCCACCTCTCTTTCTGTCTGGCTTCTAGGCTGCCAGAAAGCTGGCTGCTGCCACCGGCCAGCGGTGCCTCCCTTTATCTCTGGACGTGCGGGCTCTCCCTGCCGTCACAGCTGCTGTGGACCAGGCACTGAGGGAGTTTGGGAAGATCGACATTCTTGTCAACTGTGAGTGGCTGCTGGGTGACACCCAGGGGCTCCTCATGGGTGGGCAGTACCAGACCTCCCTGCCCAGGAGCCCCAGAACTCCTGTTCCAGGTCCCAGGCTCGGTCCCCGTCAGTGTGGTCATGGCCCAAGTGGAGATCCTGGGAGTCAGAGCACTCTCATGGCCCAAAATTCTCCCTTTGAAAAGAAAAGAAATGGACAGTTTGTTAAGTCAAGTTTTAGCTTTACAGGGAACTAGAGCAGCTGGTACCTAGAATTCCACATGTCCGCGCACAGCGCCCCTGGTGTGGGCAGCTCGCGTCCGCTGGAGTTGATGTCCCAGTGCGGTCCATGCTGCTAACCACCAAGGTTTACTCTTTGCTGAAATTCCCTTTTTTTTTTTTTTTTAAGATTTTATTTATTTATTTGATGGAGAGGTCACAAGCAGGCAGAGAGGCAGGCAGAGAGGGGGAAGCAGGCTCCCTGCGGAACAGAGAGCGCAACGTGGGGCTCGATCCCAGGACCCCGAGACCATGACCTGAGCTGAAGGCAATGGTTTAACCCACTGAGCCACCCAGGCACCCTGAAATTCCCTTTTAAAAACATAGGGTGTGTTGGTTTCCTGCAGCTAACAAGGCACCACGAGCTGAATAGCTTAAAACAGGAGAAACATGTTCTCTCATTCTCGTGAGGGCACAAATCCAAAACCAAGGTGTTGGAGGGTCCTGGGCAGGGTCTGTCCCGGGCCTTTCTCTCAGCTTCTGGTGTTGCTGGCAGTCCTCAGCGCCCCTTGGCTTGGGGCCTCTCTGTGTGGCCTCCCCCATGCGTCTCTGTGTCTTTTCTGCTTTTCTTAGGAGGAAACCAGGCCTTGGATTTAGGCCCCTGACCCTGGGTGACCTCTCTTGACTCGATTGCATCCGCAAAGATCCTATTTCCAAATAAGGTCACATTCACACACACCAGGGATTCGAATTTTAGCATGTGTGTAAAAACTATTATTGTTGTTGTTTAAAGATTTTATTTATTGACAAGAGCGAGGGAGCGTGCGCACATGAGCAGGGAGAGGAGCTGAGGGACAGGGAGAAGCAGACTTTCCTATCACTAGTATTATTATTATTATTGTTATTATTATTATTATTATTATTAGACGTAGGGAGGAGAGAGAGTCTTAGGGAGGCTCCATGCTCCATGCAGAGCCCGACCTGGGGCTCAGTTTCACAACTGAGCTGAAATCGAGTCAGGTGCTTCATCGACCGGGTGCCCCGGACACCCCCTCAGCATGTGTTTCTGAGGGACATAATTCAACCCATGATACCCATCCTGCCCCGTCCTTCAAGAGGTTACCCAAGTGCTCAGGCCCCCCTTCCCTGTCCAGCCTGGACCACCCTGAGGGTGCATGTGTCCTAACTGCCCGGGGCCGGGACGCCAGCTGCTGTCTTCTTGCGCCCTGAAGGTGCAGCTGGAAACTTCCTGTGCCCCGCCAGCGCGCTGTCCTTCAACGCCTTCAAGACCGTGATGGACATCGACACCTTGGGCACCTTCAATGCATCTCGTGTGCTTTATGAGAAGTTCTTCAGGGTGAGTGTCCCTTCTGCCCGGGAGCCGTATCCTCTGGCCATCCGCTCACTGCACGCCCCTTTGTGTTACAGGACCATGGAGGGGTGATCGTGAACATCACTGCAACCCTGGGGACCCGGGGGCAGGTGCTTCAAGTGCATGCAGGCTCGGCCAAGGCGGCTGTGGGTACGGGCACCCCCTCTGCTCTGCTTGCCTGGGCTCCCTTGGGTCCCTCCCCTGCCTGTCCCTGGAAGCCAGTAGTGTCCTAGTGAAGCTAGGCCCAGCGGTGGGCAGTGGAGCGGTGTGGCCCTGAGCCCCGGCTCACAGCTGAGCCATCCCAGAAAGTGGAACAGCCCTGTGTCTCCCCTCATGCCTTCCTGTCTTCTCTGCAGATGCGATGACACGGCACTTGGCTGTGGAGTGGGGTCCCCAGAACATCCGTGTCAACAGCCTCGCCCCCGGCCCCATCAGTGGCACAGAGGGCTTCCGGCGGCTGGGTAAGCCCCTTGGGGAGCCCCATGCCCCACAGTGCCTCCATGGGACCCTCTCCCACCTGGCTGGGACAGGACCACTTCCTCATGGCTCCCAGGGCCGGCAAAGAGGTGGTCTTCAAGCCAAGTCTTGGCCGTTCTTAGGGAGCACGCCTGTGAGAGATTAGTGGTCGGCCAGATGTGGGCAGCTGCTCCTTGGAGATAGAGGCCGCAGAGCCTCTGGCCTCGATACATGAGCCAGACACAAAGGGGGGCACCCATTAGGGCTTCTAGGACCTTGACAGAGTGTGCGTCAGAGCTACGTGCTGGCCCCGCGGCCATGGCCAGACCTTGCCTTCCCGCTCTGCCGGGGTAGGACTAACCGTGCCCCCAGTGCTCCTGGGTGTGCTTTAGGGAGAGCTGGGCAGAGGAGAGTGGAGGGCTTGGGGCCTAGGGCTCACAGGGCTAAGCCTCCTTCTGCCCTTCCAGTCACCTCCCAGGCCAGTGTGGGCACGAAAACCCTGGCCATCCCCCTGCAGAGGCTGGGCAACAAGACAGAGGTTGCCCACGGTGCGCTGTTCCTGGCCAGCCCTTTGGCATCCTACGTGACGGGCGCCGTGCTGGTGGTTGACGGCGGGGCATGGCTGACATTCCCCAACGACCTCAAGTTGCTGGCAGATTTCGCGTCCTTCTCTGCTAAGCTCTAGGTGATGTGCTGCCCTCACCTTCGGGGGGGTCACTCTGTCCCTGGGCCCCGTCCTGAAACTCCCATCCACGGGCTGATGTTCACTGTTTTGGGCCCTGATGTGTCTCCCCTGAATCCCTTGGGTATATTTTTAGTACTGTTCTGGGCACTTTTGGGTTTTGGCTACCCCAACAGACCAAACTGTATGTAGGACAGGGCTGGGGAGGGGCCTTCTTAAACAGATGAGTGGTGCTGGGAGGGGCCCAGCCCAATGGAGCTGCACCCCAGACCTCAGGTCTCCCTGCAAATCAGGACAGGCATGGCTTGCCTGCCGGGGATGGGAACCCCTCTCTTTGGGAGCTCCACTAGTGACCCCCTGTGGAGGCCTGAGGGCCTGCTGGGCCGTGAGGACGGGGGGTTGCCACTGCTCTCTACCTTCCACTCCTCTCCCCCTAACCCCATGCCGGGGCCAGCCTGTGAGGCCTGCGGACCCTGCTTCTCTGAGCAGCGGGTTCCTCGGAAGAAGGCTGAGGATGTGGTTGGGTCTCTGAGCTCCTCTGTCCCCCAAGCCTCTTGGGTTCCCAGTGTGGGCTGGTGGCAGAAGCACCGTAGGGCCATGACCAGCTCCCGTCCTGTCTCTGGGGTGGGTGTGGTGGAGGGACACCCAGAGGCTCACAGCATATGGTCACACCACGAAGCCATGGTTGGAGCAATTTTCCCGGAGGCGCGTTTATTGACACACAGGTGATGCTGAGAAGCCCGTCTTCGGAAGCCTCCTGTGATTTGGTTGCCAACAGACACGTTCTCAGGGCCCCTGGCATGTGGGCGGCCAGGCAGCGGGAGGGTGTGGGCCCCAGGCTGGTCCCTAGTCACTGGGATGAGGAACACTCATCTTGGGGAGCTCTGGGAGACTGCAGAAGGGATGACAGTGTCTGTCCCCCACTTTCCCCATACCACTGCCACCCAGGGGTACACGGGGCCCGGCTGCCGCCGCCGTCTCCGGGCACTGAGGGGTTCCCGCAGCATTCTTCCTACTCTGGACTGGCCCCTCGGGTGCTGTCCAGGGCGAGTGTAGGAGGCGGAAGCTGGTGCCCCTCGGTCTGCCCCTGTGACCTTGGCATCTGCCGTCATTTCTGACAGGCCCTGGATGCCTGAAGCAAAGGAAGTGTTCTGAAGGAAGCTGGTCCACCGTCTCCCGAGGACTTCTGGGATGGCTCCTGCCGTGTTCCTCGCAGGGCTGCCTCCCACCGCCACACCGGACAGTCTCAGCAGCATCTCAGCCGGACACTGGCCCATCCTCTGGGAACTCTGCTGTGTCCACATTCCCTCCCCACAGCCCTGTCTCCCGCGCTCAGGTGGGAGTGATCAGGCAATGAGGCCCCTGCTCGCTGGCCTGCACCCTGTGGATGTCTGTCAGGGGCACTGGGATGTTCTGGAACTCCCTCGGGAGCTGGCCTGCGGTCTGTGGCTGTTCCCCCAACTGCCCTGCCTCGCCTCAGCCTGGGAGGCCTTTGTTGTCTTCCTGCCTGTGTCCCCTGTGGTGGCCCTACTGCTTGTTTGCAGAAAGCAGGGTGTTTCAGGCCCCCCGTCTTCCCTTCCTTGCTCTTCCCCTTGGGGATCTTACTCCACAAGGGGAAGCCAGACCAGGGAGGCTAGAGAAGCATGTTTGATCCCTCCCGCCCCAGGCCTGGCATCCTGAATCTCCTCGCCAAGGTGTTGGACTACCATGGGATCCCCTGGCTGGGGGCCACCCATCCCTCTCAGCCATTGGTGACATGGACTGGGGTGTCCCCCGACCTGCCCTGGAGTCTGTCCTTTGCTGGGATATCCCAGGGGATCGAGTCCTGTGCCATTCAGGGCCTGACTTTCTAGCCTGACTTGCTGGCCGTTGTCACCAGCACCCTCATGGGCCCAGAGGGGTCAGAAGATTCTAGCCTCTCATTTGTTCCTTTGATGATCACTCTTTGCCATTCAGGCCAGGACCTAAGGGAACCCCTTGAACCCTAGGATTTGTTTTCTGTGCTGTTTGTTAGAAGCTCTGAGGTGCCCTTGTACGGGAGGCGCTCCGAGCTGTGGTCTGGCCGGGCACGCGGCGCCCTCCTCCCTATCTGTACCACCAGTTTGCGTTGTGCCATTAAATGCATGTCCCTAGGGGCACCTGGGTGGCTCAGTGGGCTAAAGCCTCTGCCTTCTGCTCAGGTCATGGTCCCAGGGTCCTGGGATGGAGCCCCGAGTAGGGCTCTCTGCTCAGCAGGGAGCCTGCTTCCTCCTCTCTCTCTCTCTGCCTGCCTCTCTGCCTACTTGTGATCTCTCTCTCTGTCAAATAAATAAATAAAATCTTAAAAAAAAAATGCATGTCCTTAAAACACACTCTTTTTACTGTGAGACAATTCACTGGACTTCGGGAAAGTTTGTAGAAGGAAAAGGAAGATGCTTTAAAGGAATCACCAGTGTGACCTAGTCATTTCGAGATGGGGATGCTTCTTTCCCGTCTTTTTTCTGTGAGTTTAGAAACCTCTTCCCAGCTAGTCCTTGAAGCCCCCATCCCCCGGCAGGTGGAGCCCAGCCTGCAGCAAGGGGAGGCTGTCTGCTTCCCCGGGGGCGGGGTGTGCTCCCACCAGCCCGGTCCCCAAGGGGGCTACATGGCCCCTCGAGGTCCTGGTCTGCCCCCGGGTGGTTGCCGTTAGAGGACGAGCCTGAGCCCCGTGCCCCAGCCGCCATGCTCACGTGTCCCCTGTCCCAGGCCCTTCATTCTGGGAAAAGAGACCCTCTCTGCTTTCAAGATGCACGGGGAAGGATGGCAGCTGAGAGGCCACCTGGCAGAGGGGGTCCCCTGCCCTTGGTACTTAAACGTGCTTCACGGGTTGCCTGGGGGGCTCAGTCACTCGGCGTCCAACTCTTGATCTCAGGGTCCTGAGTTCAAGTCCCACATGGAGCTCCGTGCTAGGCATGGAGCCCACTAAAAAAAATAATAATAATAAAATAAAGGTGTTTCTTATCATGGAGACCAGAATGGGCATCGAGCGCAGCAGCAAGGCAGACAAATGGGTCCTTCTCAAGCTCCTGAGTGGAAAACCAAAGCAGAGAGAGTGGTAACTGGGGAGGTTGGCCAGTGAGAGAGAGGCTGTTGTCAGAGCTGCTAGGTTGGGCTGCCACCTTTCCCTGAGGAAGGCCCTGGGGGTGGCCAGGGGCATGGTGCCGAACATGCTGTGGTGCCTGTGAAGCTTGGGTCTCTCACAGTTGAGGTAAAAACCTGGTCCCACGAGGGGTCTGGTTCAGCAAGGCCGCCTTCTGCGACCCCACAGTGGCTTTGTTCCAGGAGGACTGAGGCTGGAAAGCAGACTTTAATGACTGCCTCAGTCAGCTTCTCCAGAGATACGGAACCAGCAGGAGATGGATGGATAGATACAAAGAGGCTTGTTATAAGGATTGGCTCCCATGACTGTGGAGTCCCACCATCTCCCATCTGCAAGCAGCAGACGCAAGAAAGCCACTGGTGGCCGATGGTCTGAGAAACAGATGCTCCGGCAAGAAAAGATGGACATCCCAGCTCAAGCAGAGGGGGGTGGGGGGGTGCATCGCCCTTCCTCTGCCTTTCCATTCTCCTGGGGCCATCAGCCAATCGCATTGGTGGTGCCACCCGCATTGCTGATGGCCGTTTTCAGGCAACCAGATCAAATGCCAGTCTCTTCCAGAAGTGCCCAGAAACAATGGCTTGCCTGTGATGCTCTGCTGGCTGCGAGATAGGTCCTCTCTGTTTGGTTTCCTGCACCAGCCCGGCTGTCCCTTGGGTCTAGGGCAGCTGCTGGGGCTCCTTGCTCACAGGCACCAGCGGAGGCACCCCTGGGCCAGGGGTTAGGCTGGTGGGCCTCAGATACGGCTGGCGAGGGGACTGGCGGGGGTGCTGGTGTCCCAGCGGGGCACTCTGGCTCCGTGGTGGCTGGCGGAGAAGTAGCTGCTTCTCCCCTTTCACACAGGCCGTCTCTAAATTCCCCCAGGGACTGCCGGGTTCTCTGAAAGGAAGGGCGAGATTGTCAGAGTTTTCTGAAACCTGAGCTGCGGAAGCTGATCGACAGGCCTTCCAACCCTGAGCTCCCCCTTCAGCGGGTGAGCCCCGGAAAACCCCAGCCGAGGCAGAGGGCTGCCCACCACCAGGAGGCTGCCGCCCTCCAGCCTCTCCCGCATCTCACGCACGTCTGGGAGCAGATGCACAGTTTGATTAGCGTGGCAGGCCTCGGCTGCTGATTGGATAAACGAGCACCTCCCAGCTTGTCCGCCCTCTGGCGTCGTGAACCACGCGGTCGCCCCTGAGACGTCAGTATGGGGCCCTGGACAGCTGGGTGTGTTTGCCTTGATCTGTCAGAGAGCCAAGGAACCCTTAAAATTGTCTGAAATAAGGACGGCTAGTTTGGGGAGTTTCTGTTTACTCCTGTTTCATGGAAGCTTGGTAAAATTCGACCGCGGCTGGCCTGTGTTAGCTTTGTCCTTTGTGTCACCTTGGAAAGGCCCAAGCACGAATGCTGGTTTCCCCCTGCCGGACTTGTGCCACGCATTGCTGTCCCGGTGTCCATCTCTGGACATTCACCTTGTCTGCTCCCCCTGACAGAGGGTCTTTCCTGCCCTGTGCGCGGTGGCATCTGCCAGGGCTAGGCCACCCCAACGGCACAGGAAAGGTGGAAGAGGCTGAGGGAGACCTTGTCGCTCAGACACTCCCCAGTTGCCAAGGGTGCACCGTGTCCCTGCTTTGACCTAGCACCCGGCAGCGGACTGAGCCCTGAGCACCGCTGACTCTGACTTCCAATCTTCTCTCCACCTTGACATCTGTACAGGGGGGATCTCTGAGTAAATCAGGAAGAGCGAGAAGATGAATCTCGGAGAATCCACAAAATTTGAGGCTCAGCGGGGCGCCTGGGTGGCTCAGTGGGTTAAGCCTCTGCCTTCGGCTCAGGTCATGATCTCAGGGTCCTGGGATCGAGCCCCGCATCGGGCTCTCTGCTCAGCAGGGAGCCTGCTTCCTCCTCTCTCTCTGCTTGCCTTTCTGCCTGCTTGTGATCTCTGTCAAATAAATAAATAAAATATAAAAAAAAAAAATCTGAGGCTCAGCAAATGTTCCTCCGTCTTATCTTCATGTTGTTTTGTCCTTACCCTATGGGTGAGAGCCAGCTTGCGGCCCAGCAGTCAGGGCCCACACTATGCTGTGTGTCCAGGGGAGGGTCCTGCCCATTCCTGGCTCTGCACAGAGACTCAGTCTTGCTGCAGCTAGGCATGGTGTCCTTCTGAGACGATTCCCGTTACAGCCGTGGGCTCGGAGAGGGGCTACTTCTAGAAAGTGCGTGTTAGCAGACCGTCCCATGTGGACCCTGACTCACCCAGCAAATTCACCAATGTCTGATGTGCCGCCCGCCATGCTGTAACGTGTGCGCACACCCGTACTCCTTTCCTGTGACCAGGGGTCTTAGGGCCCCTCTCTGGTGACGCCCAAGGGCCAGTTGGAAGATGGCAGAGGCTGCGTGCTCTGATGCCCTGTCTACGTCCCCCCTTACACCTCAGGACTAGGGCTCTGTCCAACTCAGCTCTTCTGTCCTGGGGACCGTGGGAGAGACTGAACCTTTCCCCAGACTTCCCTTTTTCCAGCTCTTTCTAACTTGGTGCCTCGGCAAAACAGACCCACACCGGCAGGGAATTGGTGCATTTCCTATTTCTCTGTGGACTCTGGCACAGGTCTCTGTGAGTAGACCCATAGAACCTTGACAACGGGTTGAGGAGTCCGTAACTCTTTTTTCATGTATTTTGATTAAATCTTGCATTAATTCTTCAGGGGACAAATGTTATCGGTGTGGATTTCATTAACTGAACTTGCAGAGGCTAACTTTATTGTCAAGTTTTGGAGTCTGAGGAGCACGTCCTCACATCCATATTTCAAAGCATCTCATGGAGACAGTACCTGACAGTTATTTTTTTTTTAAGATTTTATTTATTTATTTGACAGAGATCACAAGTAGGCAGAGAGGCAGGCAGAGAGAGAGAGAGGAGGAAGCAGGCTCCCCGCTGAGCAGAGAGCCCGATGCGGGCTCTATCCCAGGACCTGGAGATCATGACCTGAGCTGAAGGCAGAGGCTTAACCCACTGAGCCACCCAGGCACCCCTCTTTTTTTTTAAATTTAATTTATTTATTTGAGAGATTGAGCACAAGTGAGGGGAGGCGCAGAGGGAGAAGGACAAGCAGACCCCCCCACTGAGCACACAGCCCAGCATGCTGGGCTTGATCCCAGAACCCTGAGATCATGACCTGAGCGGAAACCAGGAGTCAGGCACTCAACTGGTTGAGCCATCCAGGCATCCCAGCAGGTGTCTGATGAAGGCTGGGAAATGTCCATCAGAAAAACACAGAATTACGTAATGAGCACTGGGTGTCACATAAGACTGATCACCGACCTCTACCTCTGAAACCAATAATACATTGTATGTTAATTAATTGAATTTAAATAAAACAACAAAATTATACGGAATTAACTTTTAACTCTTCCACCATCACACAATAA